TGCTGTAGCTTCAGCCATCTTTTCTCCATATGTCATGAAGCTCAGTGGAGCAGTCGCTGAGCTGTTAATCCACCCTTCCAAAATAGCTCTTGTGAAGATGTGAGTGCTTTGTGTGGAAAGTCTTTAATTGGAAGGGGAAAAAAAAGGGGAAGAAAACGAATTTTCTGAAATTGTTTTTAAAGGTACCTGGTAATCACTCCCACAGGAGTACTGGCTGTCAGAAATATAGATAGTTGGAAAAAGTATGTGTGTAGATGTGTGTATAGATGTATACACCAACACACATAGACGGGCTTTCCTCTTAAGTGAGAATTGAAGTAATGAAGCATCAGGGAAACAGACACCACGAACAAACAGAATTTTACAAGCTTTCATTCTCCATAGAGGGAGCAGAACATAAAGAAAGTAGATGTTCTGGGTATGGGGAAAAGGAAGAGGAAAGCCTTCCATCCAACTGAAATGAAACGTTCTGTACAAGCTGAGCATTAACTCTTCCCGGTGCTTTTGAGTGCATCGTTCCAGCTGCTGAAAATCATATCAGTGATGTGCTGATGCTAGTCTGTGCTTGGGAACTTCTCTTAGGGATTTTATCTTAACTGTGAATGAAAGCTGATTAACTTAATTGCAAGCAAACTTTTATTTTATTCCTTCTTGGAGTGCTGTGTACATGCATGGTGTTTTGGTACAAAAAGGAAACAGTTATATCTGTTTTCTAATTCAGCACAGAAAAGCTGTAAAATAATAAGGCTAAAAAGTGCGTAACAGTAATCTAATTGTCAAAAGCATCACGTAAAAAGAGGAATAATTACAAAGCCTTGTATTTAGAATGGTGTCCAGGGCAAGGGAAAGCCAGTTGTTACTGGTTTAACAGCCGAATGCCATAAGGCAAGATCTGTGAAGTTGTGCTACCTGCTCAGAGGTGGTGGTGGTTTTCTTTGAAATTCTGGAACTCCACAATTTATCTTTAATGAAGCTTAAGTTGTGAGCGCTGAAACACAGATTGTGCAGCTGTGTCTTGGGAAGTGCTTCCCCTGCTTGCTGCTGTGTGTGATGTCTCGCAGCACAGTGGTGCTGAGCAGGGTGCAGCAGGACAGTGGGCTGGGAGTGCCTCTTGTCTTGGGAGGGTTTCGTGGGGAGCCTTCTGTTGCTCAGTGGGCAGTGATTCTTTGGCATTAAAGAAGCTGCTACTTTGCCTTCAGACCCATTAGTCAGTAAGGTCGTCTTCCTCTTGGCTGTTAACTCACCTTTTTGTACAGCTCTGTTATACTTCATTGAACATGTGTGTGTTGGTCTGTGTTTGGGAATAGAGCCACTTGATTCCTACTCAATTTTCTTCTATTTTTCTGCAAGTTTCCTAATTGGATTGTCAATAAAATATTGAAATATCTATGCCACAGGACACAATTCAAAATTAACATTTGACCTTGGTAAACTGCCTTGTGATAAGTTTGCCATATTTACTATGAACAAAAATGGTGTTAAAATAGCACTGTTTGTTACTGCTGTCTTATGGTGTGGCTATGTCACCGTAAGTAGGAAGGAAGGAGCTGTGTTACAGGAGGTCAGGTTGGGGATTAGGAGAAGGTTCTGCACCAGAGGGTGGTCTGGCAATTGGCACAGCCTCCCCAGGGTATTTGACGTGGCTCTATGCTGCCAGAGTTCAAGAAGTATTTGGACAATGCTCTCAAGTACAGGGCTTGGTTTTGGGTGGTGCTGCTTAAAGCCAGGGTTTGGAATTGATAGTTCTTTCCCTGCAGGGGAGTTGGAACTAGATGATTTTTAATATCCCTTCCAACCCGATTCATCCTGTGATTCATTCTGTGATCCTTAAGGGTCCTTCCAGTGTAGGGTATCCTGTTGTTCCACGATACAGAAATATATAGGTAACTTTGGTGGCAAATATTAATATGTTCCTTAAATAAACTTTATAAAGTTGAGACACTTGAGTACAGTAAGCACACCAAACCTCAAAGGAGCGCTTGTGAAACTTCTGCAGTTCACAAATGTTTGAAGTTATATCTTAATCTGTTTAAAAACAAAACAAAAAATCAGCTGCCCTATGGAGCTCAAGTCTTGAAATGGTCTTCGAACTGGTAAAGACCAAACTACTATTGCAACAGTGTTGTTGCTGTGATAGGATTGGGGTGAATTTCTTAATGTGTCCTGAAGTTCTTTTCATCAGGAAGCGTTTGCAGTCTGTTTCTATTAATGGATTTTCTATACTGGAAACATATCAATTACTGCAATTATTTTTGAATAGCTGATATGTGTAGCTTCAATAGGCTTTCATTCCCTGTGACAGGCTTAGGCTGATATTTGTAATACTTTTATCAATAGTGTATTTACTCTGTTGGGACTGCTACTGCTAAGGCTCTCTTGAGGCTGCAGTCTTTGTGTAGTTCTCTCTTAAAGCACCATTTGTTTCCTAAAATGGTTACTTATTTCCTTGGTAAGGAAAGACATAGAATTCTTATTGCTAGTTCATGTTTTACTTACAGTATCTCCTTTCCATGCTCTGTAATTAAAACGTCTCTAACTGACGCCGGTGTTCCTGGCTTAACTTTGTGCATCTCGTCTCACCACTGTATGTTTCAGGGTCTTTTAAGTTTGAGATAGTGCTTGCATATTTCTTTTTAATGGTTCTTGCTGATTTTTCCCTTCAGTTTGTCAAAGTGTTTTGATCCGGTCCCTGCTTTTAGCCTTTAACATCCTTGGTCAATGAGTGTAGTGTGCCACAGCGATACAGCATTTAGTATGCTGGGCAGTGTAACCATGGGGAGGCTCAGGTTCATCCGATGGAGGAATGCACTTTATTCCCATCTGAGCTCCGTAAGCTAGGTTGCAAATGCTCAAGTAGATCTTGTATCCTACTGTCTTCAGTCCATTCATTGCAGTGAACCCACACAGCCTTCAAATTTCCTCATGTGATAGTCACTTCCTTAAGAGGTTTGCCTGGCAAAAGTGAGTAAGAAGGAAAACCCTCCTAAATATGGGCAAATGTGAAAGTTCTTGAATCACAATGGACTTTCAAACAACAACAATATGGGAAGTCATGTTAAAAACAAACCGGAAAGAAAAACATTTTTGCCGTTGGAACTCAGCTGGAGCAGATATCATGGTCTCTTGGCGTCTGGCTCCAAAATGGCCTTTTTCATTGTGTGTAGTTGCAAGGAGTAGTGATGTCTGGTAGTAAATGCAATGCAAATGTCTCTGTAGCTTCCTTTAAAGTGCAGTAATAAAGTCTGGAGAGTGTAGGTTTTGGTATTGAGATGAATGTTTCCCATAAGTTTTGGATTAATAAAAAACAAAGTATGTGATCTAAAAGCCATTTGCGTGGTTGTGGAAAAGAAAGACTCCATATTAGAAAGGAAAAAAACAAACAAACAAACAAAAAAAACACACCAGTTTTCTACCTGATTATTTAAGGGGTTTTTGCACTTCTGAAGTGCTAGTGGTAAATACAAGTTGACACACTTCTAGCAATGAAATTATAAATGAGAGAAGGACCTGAAAATGTCAGTTTCTTCCTTAGAAGCACTTCAGGAGTTTTCTTTTTATTTTTCCTTTCTTTTCCCTCTCATACATTCATTTGTTCCCTTAGGCAAATGAGGTCCTTTAAATATTTGTCTCTTTGTTTCAATATACTGCTTATCACAGGATATAATTTTTGACACATGTCTTGGAAGTGTCAGAGGAGATTTGATCTACTAACATCTTTATGGAGAGAGCGTATCTGCGTAAAAATAACACAAAGGGCTGAGGTAGTGTAGTAAATCTGCTCTTTAAATTGTTCCTTCAGATGCCATGACATTGCCTAATTGGGTTTGTGCGATGTGGTCTTAGCCAGAACTTGCTAAATAGAACTTAAATAGAACTTTGTTAATCTTAAGGAGTTCAGGGGAAAAAAAAAAAAAAAAAAGATGGGTGTCTAAAGATGAAGCTAATTTAGTGTTTTTAGGCAGTGTTTATCATGGGAGTGGGAGGAGAATATAAGGCAGCAGGCAGGACAAGTTCTTGGACTGAACTGCTGCAGCCATCTTCCCTCGTGGAGAGGGCTCTGGGATGCTGAGTATCTCATTGGCTGGGAGCAGGCAGTTGTCTGGTTTCTTTAGATTCTTTAAGAATTTATTCTTTTTATCTGGCTTCTGGAACTGTATCACACACAAGCCGTTTGTTGATGAAGCTGTATCTGATGTATGTAGTAGGGACCAAGAGGAAGTTCCTTGTAGGCCAGGCTAGCTGATGCACAAGTTATTTTCATAGTCTTTGTTGTTTCCGTACCAACTTAAATGTGAGTTTGGATAGCAGAGTTTGCAGCCTGTCCATGCTTCCCTGTAGGTCTGAAGTTGTGGATAACCAGTAACTAAGGGAAACAAAGTAGGTGGGACAAACTTGCGGGAGAGAATAGGGAGAAATTGTTGAAGATAGATTTGTGAGTGCATACGTGTGTATGTGTCTCTATGTTATGCTCTTACAGAGGCACAGGTTCAGGGATTAAGGGAATTCTACTCTGTCACTGTGGTGTCTACAACTTGTCCTTTTAATAAAATTATGATGTGTTCATAAACTAAAGCTTTACCTGCTTGCTTCATGCAAATTCCATGGCTGTGTCGCATCACCCCAGCGTGTCAGTCAGTAGCGCTAAACATTTAAAGAAATACAACACCCTCCTACCCACAACATTTAAATGCTGGTTTGTGTGTTTAAGCATTTTCAGCTGTAAATATTTTGGAACAACAGAAGACGTTCCCTATTCATAGCATGCTAGCTCTGAGAACTGCACGCCATCACCAAGGAATGTGGAAGCATGTACTTAAGTCACATTGAAGTGAATGTGCCTAAGCACGAACTTATGTGCTGTACTGAACGTTTATTATTACTAGCCTTCTCAAGAAAGATTGTTTTCTACTCTTGTAACTGATCACTTCTTATTTTAAAAAAAAGTGAGTTTGGGAACACTTTAAAATATGCAAATGGTTTTTTATCTTTTCTTTTCATAGCTGATTGCTGTTTATGATGAGCAAGAACCTCACCGTAAGTCTGATGGCACCAATGGGAATGTGACAGACAGAAATAGCCCAGACCTGTTTGAGACAGAGGTAGCAGCTCAGCTGGATGCCTTTCAACCAGTTGGAGGCGAGATTGAAGTAACTCCTTCTGCCCTGAAACTTGGTATGTGTATTTTGTGAGATTATTTTTCAATTTTTTATTTTCACTTTTTTTTTTTTACCAACATATAGTATTTATTTATTCTGTGGTTAGATTTCTTGTACATACTTTTTTTTTTTTTTTTTTTTTTTTTTTTTGAGGGGGGATTGGGATGAACGTGTTGTTTGCCTTGTGATTTAGCGAAGATAACTGTAACGGGAAGTTGGGCAGTCTCTGCATTTCAGTAGAGTTCAATGTGCAGTTCATGCTGTATTCTTAAGTACTGTTGGCAGTTTTGTAGAGATGTGAAGTAGAAGATTGGACTGCAGTGGATGGCATGAGTTGGAAGTAATACCTCTAATTCTGTTACTCTTGTAGAGGAGTCATTTTTGACTCCAGAAGTTGAGTATTCAGCTGTCTCTTTATTGTAATACTACTTTAAAGAAAAAGGCTGATAGAAAGAAAGAGTTACAGTAAAGCATTCCAATAAACTTCATTGGATAAGGCTGCTCTGTATAACTTATGATGGAAGTCTGCTCATTTTATGCCTGTTGTAGACGTATTGAAATCCAAACTGCATGAAACTGTTTAGATTCATATTTTTAACTGGTCATTCTGGTTCTTTCTGTACCCTAATGAATTTTGAAAAATCTCTTAAATGACACACAGGAATTTCTCAGATATGCCACGACATTTACTGGATATTTTTATATAACGTAAGTGCATTTTAGCATGTTTTGGAAAGTAGGTATCATTCTCCATGTACCTCTGAACTGTATTTTAATAAAGTCATTAAAAATTGTGTAGGAAACTGAGCACAAGTTGAGTGTTTGAGAGAGGAGTACTTCAGCCTCATGCAATTTTATGTGGAACAGGTAGTGCTCTTGAGATTGCTGTTAAACTACCAGATTGTCCAGTTCTCATAGCATTTATGGAATCCTTGTTATGGATTTTAGAGGAGATGAAATACCGCATGCGATAAGCAGAGCCAATTAGGTTTTGATTTTATTTTTCAGTGCTATGCTAACTTATATTTGAAATCAAAATGGTGCTTGATTTTTGTCTCAGTGGTTCTCTTCCAGATTTTCATTTAACTTGTAAGGTAAAACAGATTTTCCACCTGTCAGTCTTGTAAAGATGGTCTGGAGCCTGAAACTGTTTTCTCTTCCAGACTTTCCATCACTATCAGTTGTTTGCACTTAATTTTTGTCTTTATCTTTCCTGTGTAACTTCCTGGACCTTAGATTATGCTCCTATATTCATTGGAGGCAAATTGAGAAATATATGAAGAAATACGAGGAGGATTTGGTCACATCAATCTCACTGATGCATGAACCACAGTAGTCTGGTTGCCGAGTTATTGAATTGACTCACCCTTGCTAACAGAAATAAATACTAATAATTTTAAAAAGCTTTTCTTCTAGAACAAGAATGTGATTAAATGTACGCATCATGAGCAAATGTCGTTGCTTTCTGTAGTGGAGCTGTTTGAAGAACTGTCTTGTGCTTGGCCTTTCAGTGCGTGTTTTTGCAAATGGCCTTTAGGGATGAAATGTAGGGAATTTGTTGTTAAATCAATTGACAGATTGTGGAACAACTTTGTTTTTTGTGTTGTTTTTTTTTTTTTTCTTTTTTTTTTTCTGATGTTTAGTATGCTATGAAACCAGGTCCCTGGTTTCACGTAGAACCAGTGCCTAATAATGATGTGAAACCAAAAGCTGCTGCTCTCAAAAAAAATAAATAAATAAATAAATATATATATATATATATAAATAAATAAAAAATCAACACAGATCTTAGAAAAGGCGCTTAAGATACTGCCTTGAAACTTATTAAAAATGAATTGTATGTGTGATACAGTTAACTACGTGCTATATCTATTCCTGAAGCCTTTACCAACTAGATAGAAATTGTAATAAAGGAGAAAATATATATTTTGTTATTATAGGATACTTGTAGAATTTTTTGTAGTTGATGTTTCTTGCAGTGATCATTCTGACAGTGAAATCATAGTTTTTCCAGTATGTAGTTAAGTACCTTTCCTTTTTCTTGTCTTGCTTAGAACTTTGAAAATAAGCAAAAATGAAGGTAATTCTATATTTGACTTGAAAACTAAAGATGCCTTATCTTATGTTGTTTCCACGTAAGTTAAAATGGTAGGGCAAAACAGTTTCTTACTTGTTAGCAAATTGACCTAATACTTGGCACATGTATCCTTAAAATAGTTCAGGAACTTACTTGACTCTTTGATGGCTTCTAAAATAGCCGCATCTGTCTTTTTGGAACAGGTGAAATTCTGGGTTTTGGTGGTTAAGAAAAATATAGAAGCACTGCAATGCTATTAATAAAAACACTTGTGTCCATTACATGGCAAGGTGCAAACATTTGCGAGTTAACCATAAACATCTGTAAACCCAAGCACTGTCTTAAATTTATTGCAGTTTTTAACTGTTGTTTCTTAGTACACTGAATACACTAGAGCCACATAACTTTACTCCATGGTGAATGTACTTAAATCTGGGGCAATCTACGCTCCAGGGAAAGAACTGATTAAAGTTTTGCTAGAAACGGTTATTTGGCTAGCTGAATCTAAGCCCTTCTAGCCTAGCATGAAGACTCCCAAAGGTTGCTTCTGAACGTCTGCGTGCCCTGAAGACTAGACTTCAGCAGTTTGAATCCAGACCATGCCTGCCAACTAGTCCTTTCCCTAGTGCTACCGCAAGACTTCATTTTCTCTGGGATTAGATGTCATCCCTAGCGATGCTTCGTGTTTGGTCTGTGTTGTTCCTGTACCTCCTTTGTTCTGACTGAACAAATGTAATGAGGCAAAACTATTTTGAGTTGGGTAAATTGTGATACCGTAATACTTATTGAAGATAGCATACTGAAGTCATTGAAGAGACAATTAAGAAATTTCCTGTATGGTGCTCAGATGGTAGGTTTTGCTGTTCCAGTCAAATTCCTTTTAGATGAATGTCTTCTACATCATTGCTGTTGATCATTTCTCTTCATAGTAGCAAAATGTATTATCTTGGATTTCTGGTGAATTGTGAATGTATCCTTTGATGCAATAACAAATCTACTAACAAATATTTAGAATGATGAAGCTTTCGGAGAGCCTTGTATGTAGGTGATAGAGTTACAACTAGCATTATTTTCTGTTGGCACTGTGTTTTTGGATTCTATCACAACCTATTGACCAGAAATGATGTTGGAAAGACTTTGCAAGCAGAGACTAGAAACATAAGATCTTTAGAGATCCCAAGATGTCTGGGGTTACATACATTAGAGATACTGGCTATATGTGCAAATGGTTCTGTCTGGCATCCTTAAGATAATAGTTTGAGGGTTCTGAGGATGTGCATGTTAGAATTACAAAAAATGAGATAGCAATGTAGAGTGGTAAAACACAACTTCCTGGTAGCAACTAATGTGTCAAGTGTGAAGTAATACCATCTCCCCAGAGTATTTTCAAATCTTTTATTCTAGACATTTGCCAATTTCAGAGCAGAAACGTTTTCTTGTTCTTTTTATGTCTTTTCCAAGTGAATGGTTACCACCAGTTACCTGCTCATGAAACATGCATCCATGCCCTTTGCAGCAGCTGCCCGCAGGCTATCACTAAGTGATTGTCCAGTGACATCATCCCTTTTCAGAGACCTTTGGTTCATGGGCAGTGCTTTGTGCAACCAACAGCCTGATCTGCCAGCTTCCCCTAGATCATGAGATTGTGTTGCTTCAGAATGTTCTGTTTCCTTTAAAAGCACTGCTTTGTCACAGTAACTCTTCTAGCATGTGACGTGCAAGTATACATAAATTGGTTTCAGTAGCAGAATTTTCACCTTATAGTAAGGCTTTTGGGTTAAATCACACAGAAGCACAGCAGAATCAGCAGAACAGTCTGAGGTTCAAGTGCTTGTAGTTCTGTTGGCCCTTATCAGCCATCTTAAAATTCACTGTGCGCCTGCAAGCAAGCTTTTCTCTATGTGGTAGGTACTGGATTAGGAAAGACTTCTTTTTCTTTTCTTTTTTTGATGTCTGTTTGGTTTTTTTCTGCCTATGGGGACTGAAGAGAAAAGGAGACAGTAACTTATTTATGGAAGATCTATTTTATGGCCATGTCAGTTTGAGTTGGAAATGCCTTTGTGACTGGTGCAGAGCAGTTGCTTTATTTAATAGATGATGGTTGAGTGCACAGAAACTTGCCGCTTTTCTGTGGGTCCTTGGCATTAAGCATGTATGATCCTTCCCGTTTGGGTTGCTAAGTCAGTCAAAGCTGTTTCTCAGTTGCATTTGTAGCGGCAGACACGAACAGATGCTTTCCCTGGTAGTGTCTGAGCTTAGAAATACAAGAGATGGAAAGTGAGGTTTCTTCTGGGTGCTCTCCCCTGGGATGTCTGATAGAGCCCAGTGGTTCTCTGTGGCATGGGCCCTTCATGGGCAAACTTGGAACTTAGGAAGAGATCCTCCTCTCTCTTGCCTGGTTTGAAGTGGATGTATTGAAGTAGGCTTGAGGGCATTGTAAAAGGCATGTATTTGGTTCATCCCCTCTCAAGTGGACTTTGAGATGCTATACAATGGATATGTGGACAGTGCACTTTTAAATACAGAGAAAAAAGCATGATTATGCTTTTTTAAATGTTATGAAAACAGGTATGAACTGAAACTATTCATTTGACAAAATGTTGCTATTGCTTGTGTACAGCATACGTGCTGTTTCAAATTGGAAAGGTTTTTTAATGTAAAAGCTTGTTCATCTTAATCTTGCAATGTCAGTTTATTGGCAGAGCATACCGATGTTTGTCAGTACATTGAGTAATTCTCTGCTGTATGATTCAGGGGAAATTAACATCTTGAAATTGGTAAGTTTATATGAAAAATGCGTTGCAAAAGCTTCTGTTGTTTGAAGCAATACTGTTTATTTCATTAAGCAGATAGGACTTTATTCTTTTTTCTGTGCCCAAGAGCTGCTCTTGCAGCAGTGAAATGAAGCGCTGTTCGGTGCAGTTTGTCACAGGTGTATG